AAGTCCAGAAAAAATGAATGAACAAAAACGTAGTACTCACTGCGCGTTCTGAGCAGGACTCAGGCTGTGCGTCCCGACAGCATTCACTGCACCCGGAGCATTCGCCACGCATTGTGCGGATTGAACAGTGGGCAACGAATTGAATACAATTTGTGGACCGGTTTGCATCGCGGGATGCATAATCACTACTTTCGCAGGTTTCTTCCGATTCCTCGCCGGGGCGGAAGGTTTCGGGACGGCCTTGTGCTCCGGCGGCACTGTGCCGGGCTCCAAGCTCAAGGCGCCTCTTCCTTTGCCGCCACGACCGCCTCTGTTGGCACTTGCGGGGCGTCGGGGCTTGGCGGCTCCCTTCGGCTTCTTCAGGTCGCTTAAAGGGATTGCGAGCGCCGCATTTGCGTCTTCAGCCTGGCACTGTGAATTTTTCGTTCAGTAAAATCAATTCAGGAAATTAGAGAACAGAAAAAAAAATCGCACATTAAAGCGACGATTCAGATAAATACACAGAAATACAAATATTTTTTTTTTCACGCGTGTCTTGAGGCAAAACAAGGAAATAATTTACTGTACACTTGTAAATCGTTTCATCCTAAATTCCACATAATGTTTCCAATCAGCACGATAACACTAAAAAAAACAGGAAGATCTCCAATTTCTCCCCAAATTCCCTTTCCTTTTTAAAACATGCGTTAAAACTAATTCATCTTTTTTTTCCGAACCATACCATGCAACGTTCGACAAAACCGTACATTCAAATCTTCAACAAGTAAAATGAAATATTTTTCGAAGAATTGCATCAGTAATAACCAATTCAAAATATCGTGCTTTTCCCACTTCACGCAGAAATTACGACGTACTTTTTGCATCTTTTATAGAATGGGATTCAATTCTAAGGAAAATGGTTTTCAATAATCAATTGCCAAAAAAGCAGTTCAGAAAAAATGCCACCACTCCTTAACTTCGGCGAAGATATCTGCTCAATCTTCTCCCTCCAACGTCGTTTGTCCTAGACTCCTTTTCGCCCTCGCATTATTTGAAGCGGGTCAAAATAAGTTCAGTACATGTGATGTCAAGGTACGTTTCGGTTCAGCTACGCTAATTTTAGTTCACAGCAAAGATTCATCGGATAAACTGCTTAACACGTTGGGAAACAAGGTACGATACAGTATGTCGCTTAGTCGAGAGGAATCGCAATATTGTGGTTTCAAGGCAAAAAAATTAGTCTTGCGGAACCAATTCTTCGAAAATACGCGAAGTGAGACAATCGCGTAACAAGATTACCATTCAAACATAGTCCGATCACCGATAAAAAATCACATCTTTGAATCAAACCCCAACAAAGAAATGGAAAAGACAATGCTTCAGTGCTATCAACTCGAAATGATGAGAGAAAAAATCACCTCGTCCATATTGACTTGAGTTCGCAGCATTCCAGGAGACATCACAAAGCGCGTCGTTGAGTCATCACCCAACTCTTTCAAAGCGTTTTGAGGGATCAATTCAACCATCGTTTCAGACCCACGAGAAGACACCGCATGGTTGGTAGGGGTCGGGGTGATAATTTGGTAGGCTGTGTACTTTTCTTGCTGAGGAACGTTCAGTCTCGATTCGATCGATCCCGGCTTCCCGATCGGAACAACTGAGGAAAAATTGAGGAGCGATTTTGAAAACTTGAAATTGAAACAGGAATTAATTACTCCTTCACTCTGGTCCACCCGCGACGCTTACATGTACAATAGAACCTCGATAACTCGGATTTCCCCACGTCGAATTTTTTTTATTTCTTTAATTGCTTTGAAAAAAAAAAACTGCATCAAAAGCTTACCCACATCAAAAGATTTCCTCCTCAAACCTCCGGAACTAAAATTTTCTGGAGCCATTTTCGTTAATATTTTATTGACACAGGTAAGAGAAAGGCATTAAAAATGTAACTTGACGCATTTCCAAAAGAAGTGGAAGATTAATGGGCAAATAAACCCGTGCCTCCAATTTTAACGTCCTGTCAACTCATTCAAGAAGCAATTTATAAATGTTACTTTCAGACAAACCCCTCCGTTCGATGCATCTCAATTGGAGCAAAAAAATTAAGAGTTTCTGATTAGACGCTGAGGTAACTAATGCTTCCTTCGATTTCTTCTAGCCTCATAAAATTACATATGTAAAAAACGATTGAGATTCAAAGACTCACTTCTTTGGGAGTCCCCACTTGCAATCACGATGTGGTCCAAGGGCATGAATGTAGGCTTCTCAAGCCGAGTGGGCATGTTTTGTTGAATTATCGCCCCGCGAACAGGAGACACCACCTCGGGTTTCCGTTGTGGTATGACTTGATGATACACAGACCTCGTTTGGTTGAGAAAAGCACCCTGTGCCGTCGACGCTTGACTGACAGTGGCAGTCGGGGATAAAACCCTTCCTGGACCCTAGTAATGGCACATTCATTCGCACAGCTCGTGTTAAATGACGTGAACTCAAAATTGATTCGTCACATCACAACCAATTCCTTCTCCAGAGAAATTAATGGTTATTTACGAGACGAAAAATGAAATTATTTTTTGCCATCAAGTATTGAGTGAGGATGGTCATTTTTATCAAGTCAAGCCAGAGCACAGAAATGAGTTCGTTTCCCCCTCAAGAACATCGCGGTTGCATAAATCCTGGATGAGACCCCTGAAGAAACCTATAGCCACACATTCTATGCGAGGTATAATGAATTTACGTCAAGACAACCGGAAGTTCAAAGATAATCACAACACTGCGTATTACACAATGTAATCGAGGAGAGAAATTCATTTTTGCAACACGAAAGCTCATGTACTTAGGATTTATCCGCGTGATTCATCACCATCAAGTCTGAAATTCATCTTCATTATCCATAGCAGTACTGTACACATCATTCGATAATTAACCCTTGAGTTTTTAGCGAAGTAGAGAAGGATGATGTGCAGTAACCAACAACTTGGTGGCAACTAACACCCGTAAGTGAAGTTCACAATCGAGAACGAACAGAGAATCAAGCTTTTTGAGGATCACTATGCGTCCTCCTTGAATCACTCCAAACGAAACGAAAATGCATCTTCGGTGTGGGAACAACAGATGTCCAAACCGTCCACGAAGAATAAAGTGCTAAAAAAGTGTCCTTTTCGGGAATTGGTTCGCGCATAGCATCCAAATATAAAGTGTCAGAGCTAGTGGTAAGACTTAGGTTCATCAAAAACTCAAATACTGTACTGTTGAAACTCGTTGCGTCGAACTTCAAGGGCCATCAAAAAATTCGAGTTGATTAGTTTCAAGTAAAAAAACGAGCTATTTTGTTCGGGAAAAGAGAGAAGAATTGCAGGAAATTTTAATTGGTGATATTCTGGGCCTCACATTGTTTCTTAAATCGGTTGACCAGATCCTGACCTTGGAGGCAAGGGTTCATTTGCCCATTTAGTCTTTCACTTTCTTTCAACACACATCAAGTTACATTCTCATTACTTTTCTCATTAATTTTACTTTTCTAAAACAACAGCTAAATGGCCTCCAGAGGATCCGAGTTAAGGAGGTTGTTAATGCATTGTTTCTAAGAGAATCAAGGCAGGGAATTGGAAAAAAATTCGACAAAGGGAGGTTCGAGTGCATTCCGCTGGAGTATTACTTCTACGTTTTTCACCGAACTTTCTGTTCTCCGAACTCAACACTGTGTTCACCATCTATCAGCAAGCACCATTTCCGAGACTCACCTGATGAATATAAAGAACAGATGCACCGGGTCGCTGAGCAGGGCTGGTTGCCATCGTTGCGCCTATTCTAGATCCCACTGCGGTGGATGTTGTCAAACGCATTCTCTGTGGAGGCACCATAGCCAAGGGTTTCATTTCAGAAGAGTTGATCGTTATATTTGAAGTGGGCAATTCCGTGATTTTGTAGCCAGTTGACACTTCCACCCCGGCCTCGCTCGGTTTTGTAACGCTGTCAGAAAAGACTTCATGTTAGCATTTCCTCCATCAGACAAACAGCCGGCTTGATTGTGATCATTGAAACGAAGAGGAACAGACAATTTTATAACCCATTCGAAAAAATATAAGTTTTTCCAGTCAAAGGGACTAGGACGATTACAACAATTCAGCGTCGCATATTCAAGGAAATACAGTAAGCCAAGTTCCACGGATAGCCTCGTAGCGCACATGACAATCAAACAAAATGTATTGTAATACACAGCTGAGATGGTTTGAAATCTGACCAAATATATCTTGCGCATTCGAATTTCCGTGAAAACTACAAGAGCCAACAACAGGTGCCGTGCGCAAAACGCAGGGATACAAATTTACAAAATGCTCATTGCGAGAAACGAGGACGACGTGAAACTGTTCTCTCAGTACTGCAATCGGTTCAGAACTCCCATTCCACCAAGGGTTCATGAGTTCCAGAGGGAGCTAATGAGATCTTGATACAATAAAATTCGGAAAATATAACCAAGATCGAACTACAGTACGCTTGAAGCTTCAAACACTTAAAATTTCGAAGATTAGAAAGAAAGAAAAAACACTCCCGCTGAAACCATCACAGCGGGGATCATACGATTTCCTTCACAACCGAACTCCATACAACCATGCACGCCACTGCGGCTCAATGAAACCATGCTTGCATGAAATAAAATCAAATGTAACTTACGCAATTTGCGGGCGTATTCTCGGAGTAATGTAGCGAACTGTATCTTGTGTTAGCGTGGGGCTATTTGAAGCCAAAACTTCTCTCCCCGGCGCAAAGAAACGATGGCCCTGAGTAGTAGTAATAACGGCGTTCATCGACGGAGGAGGGTTTCGCACAATAACAGCATTGGCGGAGGTACGAGGCCAATTCATTCGCGGCGAATTCGGCCGCGGAACCATTTGCGGTAACCGCTGATGCGCGATTCTAGAGTCCGCAGAAAGTATGATTTCACCCGGTTCACGTACAGTTGCAATCGCAGGCAATGTTGCTCTTAATTCAGGAGAACGGATAGATCCGGCTTGCGCGCGTGGAGCCATCTCGTGTTCCATTCTATGAAGAGCCTCCCCCGAAGCATGCACCGTGTTGCGATTTACAGCAGGAACACGCTCAAGGATAATTCTGCCAACAGAGCGCGTTTCGGGCCAGCTGATAGATTCGGCAGTTTCCTCACCGCAATACTCTTCATAATCCTCTTCGCCCTCATATTCTTCCTCTTCTTCAACAAATTCCTCTTCCTCTTCTACTTCTTCATCGTCGTAGAAATCCGCGAATTCCCCCGACTCTTGTGACTCCCACTCAACCACCGCTCGCGGCTCCCCTTCGTAAACCTGAACAAAAATCCGTCATATTCAAGCTTCATGAGAGCGCCCAGAAGTTGACTCACTTCTTCGTCTTCGTATAGTTCCGACGAATAATCAGAAGAAGTGTAACAGCTTCCGGACTGAACGACACCTTGATGACTTAAGGGTATTGCAGTCACAGTTGGGGGCTTCGAAGGATTATTGAATCCAGCCACGGAAGCAGTACCCGGTTTGCCAACGAAGCCAACTTGATTACCTACACAGTCTTTGTAGCTTGAAATGTCAACGTCCGCAGAAATGAATTCCAGACACTCACCACTTAGGATCCGAGACATCGCAAGTAGCATGCAACCGATATCCAGGATTCCCGCTACACAATAAATTGCACATACTCGATCATAACGGAATCTGTCAGATAAGAACATGAAGTAACAACCAACCGCGATATCCAGAATCCATACTCAACATAATACGAACCGCACCAATAAATTTCACACGCTCGACCATAACGGACTCGGAATCTGGATTCTGTCAGAGAAGCAATGCATCTAGGGGTTCCGTCATGGCGCTCGATCAACCGGTCCGCTAACGACACCTAGTTTCACTTCTCATCGCTTTGCATAATATTCAAAATCAATGTTCTTTTCCTTTCCAGCAATGGATCACCTGTTGGAAATCCCCAGAGTGTAAGTGTGTAAGGTATATAAGCAGTTTTTTTTTCATCATACGCTTTGTAACGCAAATTATAGTACAGTGCTTGGCATGTAATAGTCCTTTGCTTATATGAAGCCAAACAATCAAATTTTGTGTGGTTTTTTCGTGCACGACCATTTTCTGTATCTAAGTATGAATTTATAAAATGAGGTTATCTTATAGGATATTAAATTACCATATTATGTGTTAATCTAGGTCATATTAATTATTGTACTCTATATACGCTGTAATATGAGGTTATTTTAGGCTAGTCAAATTTTGCTTTTGTTAGGTTATTTTATATTTGATTGGGTTACATGCTATTTTACTTCAGTTAAGGTTAAATGAGGTGTTAATTAGGAAAAATGTTCCATTTCAGTAACAAAAAAAAACAGAACTGTAATTCCAATATAGTACCCGTACTGTAGTAGGTAACCCTATTCTGTAGTTCTACGGCAACGACACCTAGGTTTCAATTTCATCATTACCTGCTGCATATAATAACTTGAACACTTAGAGAGAGCGGTAAGGCAGTAACTGACTCCCTGCTCTGTTTTATGTGTCACCCGGTCTGCGTTTGAACTCACTGATGTGACGTACTGTACTCCCTGCGTAGTGAAGTAACCCAAAAAATCAAAATGAGTTCATCCCGCTCTTTAATGACCCTTCAGTGAAAAAAAATAGTTACGTTGTCAAAACTGATGAAAGCCGTGAAATTAGTGAAATGAGCTGGTAAAGGTGCCGAAGCACCGGTTCTTCGGGTTGAAACAGATGAGAGTAAGCGCGTGCTCAACATCAGCTAGATATAGTTTGGCGTTTATTCTCACACGCGCTGTTATCTTTATAGTGACATCCCTCGCTTAATTTGTCTGACCTTTATAGAACAAGCGTTCATCTCCATCAGTTCTCGAACAGAACACATATTTTGTCAAGTTTGAATTTACTTTCCTTTTTTCGGAGGGTCATGTCGTCGTCGTCGCAACTGGAGAATTTATTGATTGCCGAACGCGATCGTCTCACTTCGCTGGGGTTTGATCAGATGACAGTTGAGTTCATCATCGGTTTGTATCGCGAAAGTACGTTTTTTTTTAATGCTAAGCGTAGTATTCTAACTAATGGAAGTCTCGCGCATATGCAATACGTCCTCTTCCATCAGATGAGCAGTTGTCCCTTGGTGATATCGACGACGATGTTCTGAAAATGCTCCTTCAACTTGGTCCAAAGAAGGCTCAAAACGCCTTGACTGAGTTCGCCATCTCAACGAGACCAAATTCTTGCAGCCCGAGCCGCCTTTCAAACAAATCAAAGTATCTCCGGGAAATCATTGCTGTGATTCGGTCAGCAAAATACGACACTGGGGATGATCAGAACATATGCAGCAATCCACTGAAAACTGAGAAACCGGCGTCTCCGAAGGCTGAAATACCGGCATCTCAGAGCTCTCACCAAGACCTACCACGTCGTACTCACAAGCGTCGCAGTGACGATGATGAATTCGAGGGCAGAGTAAGTTTCCCTCCACGTACGAGGTTTGAGGTTCTACTGCTGCTGATTCGATTGAGAGGTTCATTTTATTTGTAATCTGATCCTTAACTTCCGGTTGCTCAGTTCAGTGACCAATTCTGTTGAGTGTTACGGCTCTATTCGCTCGATGACTCAGATCACGAAGAATCTCTTGCCGAAGTTCTTCGTACCTTTTCTAGTTTATGTCGTGTTCGTTTTCTGATAAGTGAATGAATTCTGGTCGAACAAAGTTATATTCAAAAAAAAGAGAAATGTATGAGACTAATGAGAGTATGTTTGAAGCAAGCAAAATAATTCTTACTTGTGTGGCACTGCCATAATGTGTGCTAAAATGTATGGCCTTATGTTCTGAGTGCACCACTGTTTTGTCATTTGATCGCAAGGATTAATGCGAGTGGTTAATGTTTCGGGTGATTAGCTTCTGTGCAAGCACCAAAAAATTACAAAATATTCTGATCGCTTATTCGGAAAGGGCCGAATATGTAAAGATACATGTGCTAAGATAATATAGCATGGCTTGTGGTGTGTGAAACTCGCCGTGTCCGTGTTGGCTGAAGCGGATCAATTCCCGTAAATTCGATGAGCTGATGTTTACTGTGTTCCTAGTCTAATGGAATCCCGCAGAACCAACGTCTGTTCGTGAGCAACATCCCGAAGAACAAGGACAAGTACGAATTGTTCAACGAGTTCTCCAAGCATTCAAGTAAGTGCCTGCTCCAATTTCCTGAAACTGTAGCGCCAGAGTTTTATTGAATTCTCGTTTGTAGCTGGGCTAGTGGACGTGATTATCTACTGCAGTCCAGACGATAAAAAGAAAAACCGAGGGTTTTGCTTTTTGGATTACGATTCTCACAAGAACGCCAGTTCAGCGAAGAAGAAGCTGGGTGCTGGACGCCCGGGTGTCTGGAATTGTGATATCATTGTTGACTGGGCTGATCCACTCGAAGAGCCTGACGAGGAGACCATGTCGAAAGTACTGTCTTTTGGTCCTTTTCTAAATTCAGAAGTTGATTTTTTGTTATTCCGATCTATAGGTATTAAGATAGTCGATCTTCAATCTTTCGTTTGACTCTGTTCGAAACTCTTCGCGCGATTATTCGAATCATTTTGGTACTTAATCTACAGACGTTTCAGTCTTCGAAATTTTGCAAAGAAATATTTTCTGCGCAACTTTGATGAACATTCAGCGCAAAAACTACTGATGGAAATTTAGAATTTAGTTTTGCTCGAGACAGATTGTATCATCAGTCGAAACTCTTCAAATAATTCGAGCTATAAAACGGACCAGCAAAAGATTCGAGAATAGGTTTCCAGTTTGGGAAACAAGCATTTTGTGTGGGGGTAAAAATAATTGTGGGATTTTTTAAATTGGTGATATTCCAGGCTTCAAATCGCTTCTTAAATGAGTTCACAGGATGCTGAAGTCGGATGTATGCGTTCATTTGCTCAATTAATCTTTTGCTTCCTTTCAGAAAAATGCAGGAAGTTACACTTGCATTGCTTTTCTCTGTCCCGTGTCAATAATATAAAATCCACCAGTCATTCTGATAATCCGAATTTTTGGATGTTTGTGGGAAAATTCTTTGAGTTAAGCAGGCTTTTTAATGCATTCACGGCAGGGTCTTGAAAAATTTGGACAGATAAAGGTATAGTCGACTTGCTGCTGAATCGATATGTTCGAGTTATCGATGGGTCAACTGTATTTGAAATAAGACTCATTCCGAAAATATTCCACTTTCGTGTATGAAATTAAAGATGACCGATCTTGTTTTTCTGCTTCGAATCATCCGATAAATTTAGTGACTCATATTTCTCGTGTAGGTGAAGGTCCTGTACGTGCGGAATTTGACGCAACGAGCGACGGAAGACGACATTAGGGATCTGTTTCAAGAGTACGGCGTAGTCGAGAGAGTCAAGAAGATCAAGGACTATGCCTTTGTGCACTTCACGACCCGAGACAACACCATTCGGGCTTTGGACGCGTGTCAGGGAATGGATTTATGCGGAGCTCCGATGGAGATCACGCTGGCCAAGCCACCGTCTGACAAGCGCAAAAAGGAAGAGATCCTGCGCAAGAGAGAAATTCGCATGACTTCGCTCATGCACGATCGCGGAAGGTGAGTGTACTAAATAGTACAGTACAGTACTGTATTTATATATTTTACTGTGTAAATACGGGTGCGAGAAGTGTCCGCCAATGACGGTATTGCAATTCACATCTGATTATATCGTGTGATTATGCAACGTGCATATATATATGTCGATGTGATATTTCCTGTTGAGATTATATAAACCGTGTTTACTCGAGTATACCATCAGCACGTGCCCTCGAAAAAATACGCGCATCACCCGGGTTTTTCAGTTCACAATCCCATCCCTTACGCACACCCCATTTTAGTCACACTAAAAACGCAAAAATAAGTGCACCCAAATATAAATTTAGACACGAAATCATTTTCAATGTTTTCCATTGAAATACAGTTTTCTGTTAAATTTGGTTTAGAATGTTCATTAAAATCTTGGAAAAAAGGTCGCCTAAATTTCAATAACTTCTGAAAATTTTATACCCGCCTATGACGCGCACCCGCGTTTTAAAATTAAATTTTAGAGAAAAAGGTGCTTGTGCTGGTACTTGAGTAAGCATATTTGGATCTGCAATTCTGTGAGTGGTAGAAAACGCTGAGCCAGGCATTTCTTGCCTAGCTTAAGTCTTCATATGGGACCAAGTATTCCGTCGTGATCTCCGTCATGAATTCATTAAACGATTCGAGTTGATTGTAGCTTTGTGTACTGTAAGTGGCCAGTTTCAGGTTAGTTGCTTCGTAGGCGGGTATATTGGCTGACTAAGCAGCAAGTGCGGACAGCGAGTGCTTCTAGCGACATCTAGGGTATCGCGGCAAACAGGTCGAACTTGGCCTGTAATGTTTTAAAGTTTTGGAATTATTTTTTATGTTTTTCAAAATCTGAGAACCTTAGAACATTATGGGCCATGTCGGGATTTTTTTAAATCACACCTATACTCTAATAAAAAAATCAGAGTTTTTGTCCAAGTGGGACGACGATGGCCGTCATGTATACACAATACTGTATGTAATTTACTGTATATACAGTTGGTGCCCCGCCAGAATTCGACCCCTATCTGTTGCGGGGTAAGGGTCAAATTTCAAAGCAGTTGAATTGCAAGACGATGTCAAATTTAATGGTTTCTAAGCTGAATTTGACATCTTGAGTCTCTCTGCATGTTGGATTGTGGGGCAAGAGGTCAAATTGCGAGTTAATGTCCTAGCAAATTTGAAAATTTGCGAGTTACCACCTGTATATAGGCCATATCCCAAGTAAAAAATAATGGTTGACTATGCAAAGGCTGTCCCATTTCTGCACTGGTTCAATTATTTCTCACCTCAGTAAAATGTGCTATAAATTCAAATGACACATTTTCCAAATGATGTTTCATCAATAAGGTATTTTATCAGATTTTAAACCTGTTTTAAAACAACTGCATGATTCGAACCATGCGCACATCATGATATACAGTACAGTATCAGCTGTAACGGGTTGTCCTAGTTCTACGGAAGTTGAAATATACGTATGTACTCAATTACCACGCGCACCTTTCTTCTCCAATTTCAGAAGAAAATAGGGGTGCGCGTCATAAGCGGGTACAAAATTTTCAAGAAGTTTTAGGAAGTTGTATGTTAATTATACTTGATTATAATTGGAAAATTTGTGACAAATTTACCAAGAAAACTTTTTTTACTGAAAAATTTGAAAATTGATCAGATTCATGTTCAATTCACGTCTAAAGTCAAATTTTTTGTTTTTATTTTCGAAATTTTGTGGTTATAGAGTCACTAAAAATGGGGTGCGCATCTTACTTGGGGATACAATTTTAGCCAAATTTTGAACTGAAAAACCCCTGTGCGCGCCTTACTTGAGGTTGCGGGGTACTTGAGTAATTATGGTAGTACTGTGCAGTATTTTTAAAGATGATAAAAATGTAATTTTTTTCACAATTGTTCTCATTATGAATACTGTGCTGTATTTTTACCCAGCACAATTCTTTTCAGTATGCTGAAAACTGCATGATTAGAAGTTGCATGAGTTTCTGTCACAGCCTGAGTTTTCACTCATTTCACAGCAAGCTAAAAATGTTTTGAAAAAGTAATGAAAGTGAAATATTGATTTTTCGATATTGGCGCATTGATGATGATGAAAAGGGTTGTGAAGATCATGGATGTTTTTCTGTGCAGTATATGTCTGTTTTTCTCTCTCTATATGCAGGTACTGGAACACGAGCGTGCACGGAACGCAGCGATCCAGCAGCTTGTCGCGCTCCAGCACCAACACGTCGTTTGACTACAACCTCGCCCGCCTGCAGCAGCCGCAGCAGATGCCGCTCCTGGCCCTGGCTGGCCTGGGGTCCACGGCCATCATCCCGCCGGGCGGCCCGCCGCAATCCCTCGCCATGAACATGCACTCCAGCGGCCAATTGCAGGTCTCCTACCCGGAACTGCTCAACGCCGCCGACTTTTGGGACGACTTCAACGAGCTGGACATGGCGTGTAGTCCGTTGGCGCCGGCGGCGGTGCCGGTGCCTGTGGCTGCAGCCGCCGTGGCTGCCGGCGTCCCTGTGGCGCCCAATGCCGCGTTTCCGTTCCAGCCGTTTTTCCAGCAGCGCGAGGCGTTTGATTTCATGCAGAATTTCCTGTGCGCCCAGCAGTTTCAGCAGGCGAATGCCTTGGATTTGCATCACGATGCCGGGCATCACTTGTCGCGCGGGGCGAGGGTTGGAGCGCACCAACGCGGCTGAAGAATGACGGTGAGTTATGCTGTAATCACGAGGGGCTCCGAGATGCGGACGTGATTGCTTCTCCGGCCTTGTCTGTATAAGCTGGATCAGTTTTTTTTCCGTAGACTTCAATGGGGTTATAAGAGCTAGGGTTGTCCCAGTTGGACGCAACCTCGCTCTGATATTTTTAGAGTTGGTGTGATTGTTACGAATAAGAAAATTGTGACATAGCCGACAATAAGGTTTTGGGATTTTTTTTAATATTTAAAAATATTTTAAAATGTACTGTTTACTGTATAATAAGTGAAAACTCTCCAGTTAAGGGTAGAGTTCTCCAAAAAGGATGCTGAATACCGTATTCGTATGGCTACCTGAAAATTTAATTTTGTTTGTTTCAAACGCTATCTAAAATGTAAGAAATACAGTACAGTATAAGGGGTGAAAAAATGAGAAAATTATATATTTTTCGGTTGGCCTGACACATTTAAAGCCCAATGCGACACTGGTGGAACACCAGCTTATCATGCAGCAAATCGTAAAACTTTTTGTTAATGAGAAAAAACTAAGAACCTATTGAAACATCCTGCTGGCTATGTAATGATTGTTCTGTTTTTTTATAACCATCATCACAGCTACTCTAAAAATATCGGTCGTAATTTCAGACTGGGATAACCCTCATCCTCATATTTAATTGGCTCTGATTTTTTAAAAACTTCATGAAAGTCCCCCAAAATAGAAAACTTTTCTTAACTAATATATAGAAATTAAATGCACAGAATAAAATTACACTGAATCTGCCCTTTTGGCATGAAAATGAGCCCTGCTTAAAGCGAAGAACACTCACGCCTCTATGCTCTGTTAATCGGAAACCCGCCCCCTGAAAAGATAAATACAAAGGGCTTGTTTCGGATTTTCAAAAATTGGATTAAATCTTGCAATAATATTCATTTTAATTTCTCAGTTAATATAAATAGCTCAATTATTTCAATAAGATATATCACATTTTAAAAACATTTTTTCTTTTCTGGACATGTTCGTGAAGTGTCCAAATCTCATGACATTGTAGGATGTTGGGGCAGATTTTTTTGAGTTTGAAGTGTCCATGAGTCAAATTGTACCTATTTTGGGGCACCAGCATCATTGGTTGTGCAGTGAGGTCCTGAGACACGGTTACTTCTCAAACTGTCTCTGTTTCAAAAAAGTCCTTTGTTGGATCACGTTTGTCTACAAATTTCCATGAGAACACTTCTCGTTTTTAATTAAATTGGGAAAGGTGGTTGAAAACTTCCAGAACTGCTCAACCTGATGCTTTTTTTTAACTTCAAGATTCAGGAAAAAATTGTGCAAAGGAAATCACACAGAATAAGCCCTTTTTTGTTTAAAGAAGGGGCGAACAAAAACAAAACAAAAAAGCGCAAAACATATTGCTTTGATGTGTACTTGATTCATGAGAAATCCTGATAAAAAGAGAACACGATTTGTCCATTTTTGATTTTTATGTAAAATTATTTTTAAATTTTGTGAGTGCTGCAGATATATATAGCTCAATTCGTTTGAGTATATTTTTTTTGGAAATATTGGCAAGTACTGTAGATAATCGGGAGATATAGTACCATATACGTCAAGGCAGATTTTTTTGGTTTATTATTTCGAAGTTTAAGTTGCATTGTCCGTATGTCGGGGTCCCTATAATGCTGTATACAGTATATGCATATGGACACTGATTTCTGACCCCTCATCCCGTATACAGTTGCATGTGAGGAATCTTGAATATACGCTTCTTCTGCTGCTGCTGTGTGTGTATCAAATACTTGACAAGGAAAGAGAGGCGAGGGAAGAGAAGGAAACCATCTGAAAGCTGTGCTTCTTGCGACTGCTGTGACTGCATGGAGCGCTTCTGTGTTCGGAATTAAAACGGCGACGGATGTGTATTTATCGTGATGTGAATTCTCATTCTCACTGAGCAGGAAATGCACTCGGATGAAGAATTTCTGCATGCGGAATATCCGTGTTTTTGACCATAATTGAATGACCAAGTGATCATCGTTATTCATAATCAAGTGCTGATGGTGAAACAATAAGAGTGCTACCGTTTATCAGCAGCAAGAAAACAACAGCAGTGCTAAATTTTATTTGAATTCCTTGTATATTATATTGGGCAGCTTATTTTGCATTGTATATATATGACGAAGGCTAATATTTTTCATGTAAAAGTGAATTTCATCATGAATGGCATCAGCTGCATTTAAATATTAAGGGCATTAGTGTATGACCAATATGAGGACGTTTTACATTTAATATCAAGTCAAGAAATTTGTAATAATGAAATACGAAGGCCGTTCCCTGTGAATTTTCTTTCGATACAAACAATATTTATGCTTTACTTTAAACTAAATTATGCGTGTAAGGTGCCTTGAATATATTTATTAAGATAATACTGTAATTCATACAATATTCGTATCAAAATACCAGCGCACATTATTCTTACTTAAAGCATGCACCTTTATTTTCTTCCAGCTGGGACAACTTGGGAAAATATCTATTTTATCTGCGCTTACAAAGAAATACATCCCAGTTCTCAGAGAAAGCATTTACTAATAAAGATTTAGAACAGATGGGATTATCCATTTTTACTCGAGAGAGGAATTCAATGGTCTCCCCTTCGCTATTTACATGTTGGTCCGCATGCATGCATGAAGTTCAGAAGAATTTTTGCGCTAGTTATACACTTATATCACTCTCCCCTTTTTGAGGAAAGGAAAGAGACTGTACTTGAGTGAATGCAGTATGGAAGCAAAGTTGAGAGCCATGTTCCTGCTTAATCTAACAAGAAGCAAGTCAAAATCAGATCCGCAGCATTCAGAATTGTAACTCAGATGCCTTACCATAAGAAGAAGAATGTTTTAATGTGAAATGAATTCACAGAGCCTCACTCACGCGTAAGGTCTGCTCTAAACTCAAGTTCGCAGGATGATTTTTTGGACTAAGTCATATTTTCCAAGGAAGATTCCCCATCGGCTAGAGTTTTATTTCGATTTAAAGATTGTCAGTTTAATAATTACATGAATTCTGTTGTGTTGAAGAACAATTACGGTAGTGAGTTTCAAGAAGCACTTTGGCCACTGGAAAAGGTTTGAGTAACATTATGTTTTGTTCAGCAGGCAACAGGGTGCAATTTGTTCTTGTATCACCTCATCACTTTAAATTCAAAACGTGTCAGGCGGTATTGATATATTTTACTCAGCTGGAAATTTGTTCTCGAATTTTAGAAAACCAGAAAATATCAAGACTATTTGGGCACTAGAGATAGAAACCAAGTAAATCAGAATTTTTCCCTCTGGTCAAACAAAATAACCAGAAATAAATACACACACAGCTCACTGGAATTACATAAAATATATTTCCAATGCATAGGAATTATTCATGTTCCACTACAGAATCCTTTCAACTTCCGACCGGAAGACACGGAATCTTGGTAAAAGTTAACTTGAGAAAACAAGACAAAAAATGTTTCCCTGCAAAACATGAATCCATGTTTCTTCTAAATCTAGCCCAAACGCAAAAAAATGCTATGGACAAAAAAAAATCCGCTGCCCCCGACGGTTTTCATTGGCTCCCATATTTCTTTAATAAGCAAACTGCTGACATAAACCGACCACACAAAAAAGATTGACACTTTTTCGTCCAGAGGGCGCGCGAGTAAAAATTCTTAAATTAATACATAATAGCCGCATCTCACGATCAACAACGGCGGAAGAAAGTGGAAACCAGCGAAAACCGTAAAAATGCGGTAAGATCCAACAATAAATTCCCAACAAATTCTCGGAAGACTCAGTCCCTCCAGTCAAGAAACAAAAAAAAAGAAACACTTGTATTAGTTCGGAAACCAATTAACCGATGCACTCAAGACCAACACAAGGTCCCAACAAAATTAACCACCTCGTGATCCCTCACCATTTGATCCTTCCACAAAAAAAAAACATTTTCCAAGGCACAAGAGACGACATTGAGCATAGTAGCGTACCATATTGCTCAAGTAGAAAATATGCGCAAGCATGTTCCCATCATCACAAAGTCTCCAGCAAACGGCGAGAGGTAAAAATAACGATCCGAGTCCATATAGTGTCATCATCACTTTTTTCTTTCCTTTCCGAGTGGTCCCAAGGAAGACTATTGGAAGTTTTAATTAATCTTTTTTTTTTAAGCTCCCACGTTTTTCAGTATCTTAAAAAAATCCTGAAGCCTTGCTTTAAAAATATTCCTCACAAACCCCTGAAAGATACAAGTTTTGAATGATTTTTCTTTGTTGTTGAAAGAAGCCTCACGTGGATTAGGGGGAATTTTCGCACTTGAAAATACGCGTCTGATTTGGCGATCAGAATTCCAACGACCAGAAAAAAATTGAGAATTTGTCACTCTTACGTGATAGCTGCCCTAGCTTCTGTTTTCGGAGTGCGCTAAATTCAAAGCTGCTTGCAAATTACCTCACCTTTAGCGTACTCTTCTTCCTTTTAAATGCATGTCAAATACCGAATTTACTGGAGTACCACACGTCCTCAGATTGAAATCTTATCCCCAAGTAACACATAAACCCTATTTCAGTGACACTAAAACTGCAAAACTTCAAAATTAGAAAAAATCAAATTTGAATTTATACAAGAATTGAACGTGAATTCAACCGATTTCTGCTATTATTTCCATTAAAATGAGTTTTTCTTGATGAAATTGGTCCAAAATTTCCTGTTGGAATCAAGGCCCATTGGCACACCCGAACTTAAAAAAAAAATTGAAAATGCATACCCACCTATGATTTTTCCTTTCAATTGTAATACAAAAAGGTACATGTGGTACTCAAGTAAATACAGTTTTTTTTAGAAAATCAATCCGTAATGATTGTGGCCTATTTTCAAGTTGAATACAGTGAATTAAACTTTGTGCCAATTGACAGATGCGCAAATAAATGCAAAAGCACCAGCTTTAACAAGGAAGGTTTTTGAGCTCAACGTTTTCAAATGACGTTTAAAAAAGGACTGAGGAACCTAAAATTAAACTCGCTGGAATTTTCGAAAAGCTTCAGAAAAAACGCCGAGAACGTAGCACTGATTTAAAATCACGAATAGCCAATTAATAAAAAAAAGGTAAACCCGACCAGTTTGCAGCTCCCAAAGACTATAGAACTTAGGACAGACAGGGAAGAGCACCACATTTGCATACAGATTAATTCAAGCCTCGATTCCGGCTATTCTTTCCGCAATAATTTACAAATTTCCTCCACAAAAAAAAAACAAGTCACTTAGAAGCACCTCCTCGACGACGACGACACCGGTGAACTACCACTTACTACATTCACACTTTCTCCGGTCAATAAAAGCACTTCACTCGTTTTCCCCTCTAACTTCCAAGAATACTGAGACGCCTGCTCCGGGTTTATTTCAACCGTGAGACTTAGAATCTTCTTTTCTCAAGGATAAGGTTTTAGCCACTCAGATCAAATAATGCCGAAAGACAGACACATAGTCATGAACACGAGCTTTAAAAAAGTCGTTCAAGAGAACACGCGAATATTCTTCGATCAACTGGATCAACGCATTTTCCCGTCCAACAATCTTTTTTTCGTTTGTACGCCGACAGTTTCGAGTATTTTTTTTTCTTCACGTACTCGAAATCAGATCGGACGAATACCCCAACCCTAAAATTTGGATTACGCGTGGCAAGAATGAAAAAAACCTCCCCGATTGAATGGAAAAACTGAAAAAAACACCCACATTGGTTAACCCCTGTATGATACCGAAGGGTTTCTGGAATGCCGAACAGGTGTCACCTCAATTTCAAAACTGACTGAGTCCTACGAATTCCACATGACTAATATTCAAGATGTCATACGATCTACCGTCTCTAAAACATAATGACCCTGTATCATTTGTGAAATAAGTTAGCAAAATGTTTCAACAATTTTTTGAATCCCAAGCAAGGAATATTGGGATCATTTTGACAATTTGTGAGGCCTCTGGAGAATAAAATTTTATTCCACACATTTCCACATTACTGAAGATGTACTTAGTTTTGAAGAAATTTCATATTTTTCACATCTGAATTTAGCCCAAGTTTAGCGTTTCAGCCTTGAAAAAAGTTCAATTTCTTAATTTAAAAGATAGTCAAAGATTTCCAACAACAACCTAATAATACTGTAAATACTTTAGTGCCATGTAGCCTTGTTCAAGAAGTGCACCTTAATTTTTATCCTATACCTGTACTGTATATAAAATTAGAACAAGTAACCTAGTATCCTTTACCGCAAAAATCAATTTAATTTTAGGACATAAACACTAAAATTTACACGGTAGAATATTAAAATTAGAAAAAATTGTGCTGCACTTCGTTTCTGTTCCGAATTCTCATCAACCAATTTGATTTGAGCATGAATTCATTTTTTCTTATCCTAATCTGAAAAATTATGTAGAACTTCCCCGAATGAGTTGGAACTATGATGCACGTTGAAAAAAAATGGATTCGATTTTCAAAGCAAAAGGTGCACATGGTAATTGAGTAAATACAAGGTAGTCTACATCATCCATGTTTTCTTTGAGCAGATAAAATATAATAAACTTGAAGGGGATTGTTTACTCATGGTCGAAGTCTTAAAGGAGCACTACAACGACATTTCTCTGCTACGAATTATTTTCTGGTCCCTCGGATTACGTTCTACAGACAGTCCACCGGCACAATCAAAACTTCGTAAAATTCAGGCGACACTCACGTTCTGGAAAGCATGAAATCACGGCCTCCACGGGGTATAACCAACAATAATCATAAATAGTATCCACAGAAAACTGATTGAAGCGCAAATTAAAGATATCCGAAATGTCTGAGGAGAAAAACGTCACACAAGTTTTTTTCAAGGGGAGAAAACCTGGAAATGAGTAGTCCCAGTAACCGAAGAATACTTGGCATGCTGCTGAGATCTCCAGGAGCAGCCCGGATAGCTGAATTACGTGCTAAATTCCACCGGTCGACATTCTCTACAAGTTTTTTTGTGGGGGAATGAATCGCGTTTCCGGAATGGCCCTTTGTACACACTTGATCCCGTGGAATGTCGCAACACACACACACGCATCCACACACACTCAAACACATACAACAACAACGAAAATAAACCTTCCCCCCCCCACTTCGACACACACACACACACAAAAAATTGGCCTCATTAAGCATCGGTGGCTTTGCCAACTTGAATCGCATTCTGCGCTCGCGTCATGAGACTGAAGCCACAATTCACTTCGCTCGCCACTCGACGCTTTCGTCTATAAGACAACTGTTGCTGCAATTTCAACGTCGGCTTCGTCTCTCTCCGCGACCGGACATTGGACGACGTCGGCGACTCGGGCGAGGATTGGGCGGAAGGCATGAGACACCAGCTCGGAATGGCGGCCTTTTCGTCCTCGTGCTGAGGCGAGTTGGAGGCGGAATTGACGGAACCGGGAGCTTTCGGGTCTTGCGCAGGTGCGTCCATGTCGTGCTTGAAGCTCATGTGATACTTGAGCTTGTCCTTGCGAGTGAAGCCCTTGTCGCAAATGGGGCAAATGTGCGGACGTTCGCCAGTGTGCAGCAACTTGTGTCGAATGAGGTGTGCGGAACGACGAAATCCGGCTCCGCATTCTTGGCAAACGAATGGCTTCTCACCTACGATGCGTGAGGAAAAAAGAACAAAACCCCACCAACGGAACACGTTCTTCAATTGCCAAATTTAATCAGAAGGAAGAGAGGACAGGTACCTTTTAAAGACTCAACTTCACTACACGCGAAACGAGGCAAGTGTTTTCGAATATTTCGATCGTAAAAGAACTTCATGAAATTCTCTAAATCGCGCGAAATCTCTACACAGGAAAGCGGTATTCACCACACAACACTTCCTTGGGGTGACGAAACGTCTAATTACAATTCAATCTTTCGCTGAGCATTCTTAAAACAAAAGATAGTTAAACTGTAGTCCGTTATCGTCGAATTTCAACCTCTTCAAGAACCATCAAAATGAATCGAGTCGGGCAGGTTTCGAGGTGAGGAAAAAAGCTTTTTTGTAGGGAGAAAGGAAGATCCCAAGAAATAGTAATTCGTGATATTCCTGAACTTGAATTACTTCTTACATGAGTTGACGGGATGCTGAACTTCGAGTCAACGGTTCATTTGCCCAGTTAGACCTTTTTATTACTTTCTTCTTTCTGTATCAATAAAATAAAAGCCAACAGGCCTCCAGAAAATTCGAGTTATGGCGCTTAAAAAGGGAAAGACTTTGAGTTAGGAGTTTCTCAACGGATTTTTTTCAACTGTATCCGGACAGGGACCCAAAAAAATTCTACACAGGGAGGTTCTAAGTATCAAGGTTCAGCTGTAATCGATTCAGATTTTTCTGAAAATGAACCGGCATGCGCAAAAATATAGACTGAAGCCGTATTTCTAAACATAAACATGGACATACTGACTCGAATGGGAAATATTTGATCAGTGATACGCGTTCTTCCATAATTTTGTCATTCAATGCAATGACTACAAGATAGAGCATATAATATTTCGAAGTTACAATACCTGTGTGACTTCGCATGTGTATAACTTTCTCTCCGGGGCTGCGACATTCCTTCCCGCAGAGCTCACAGGTCAGTCTGTTCGTGTTCGACGAAACATTTCCAGAACTAACCATGGGAGGTGTAACAGTAATCGTTTCATTTGCAGAGCTGGCGAATTCGGTCTTCACATGCAAACGTTCGAGAGCGTTATCTTCAATGATGTCATTGTTTTCATGATCAACACCATCATTCGTGTCCTCGGCATCCGTTCCACAAGAAGCATCTTCTTCTATCTGCACTTTGAGCTTGGAAGTCACGTCGTCGGCATCGTCAGCATCCACAGAAGCTTCACTTTCCTCCGCGGTGTCGTTGAGAGATTCATCTGAGTAGCGAGTGCGTTTTGGACACATCGCCGGTTTCCCGTTGCAAGGAGGAATGATAGGATACACGCTACCTTCCTCGGTAACCCTCTCCGTACACAAAATGCGTCGCATGGATGGTGTAATGTTGCACCGTTTCAGTGACATGGACGTGTCAGCAAGGGATTCTTTCAATATTTGATCAAGTAGCGGGACTTTCAGTGGCTGGGGGTAACTTGGTTTCACAGTTTTTACAAAATTCGGAGTAGGCAGAGCAGGTTTTCGACCAGGGGACGGAGAAGCCTTCCTCCCCAATCCCTTGATTCCGAGAATATGGGCAGCATGCAACACGGACTCAAGGCACTCCGCGGCAACGTCGACTTCTCCTTTGTACATGAATTGCATGAGCACCGATAGATCCTCGTACATCACATCGTTGAGGATAATTATTGGGTGCTTTCCAGGGTGTTCCCGAAGAAGATCATGGAAGAATGGGCTGCACGCTGAAAGGACCATGCGGTGCGCCCGGATATTTTGCCCCTGACAACACAGAGTAACGTCCACAAAGTCTTCACTTTGCAACAGCTTGTCAAATACGTGCAGCAAGCTTTCTTGATGATTGTTCCATCGAAGATGATACGCTTGCAACGATGAAATGGTCTCCATTGTGTTGGAGACGGTTTCTGCTGAAATGTCGATCGGCTGAATTTTGGTAATATCACAATGACAGAGGCACAGGGGACGTTCACATAACCATAGCGAAAAATAGCTTTCGGAAAGTAATTTTTTCGTCAACGCACCGAATCACGTACACTCAAGAATAAGGCACATCTGTTGATAGAAAACAGTCACATACATGCAAGCTGAAGTTCGCTAAGTTTCGATTTCAAAAATTACCGCCATTGGGCAAAATTCCGCAAAATCAAAGCATTTCCAGAAAATAACTAGAAACTGTGACGTAAAGCTTGTCCTCTTGCTTTATGGACGGTGAGATATACTTGCAACTCGCCTAAGTTGCACATTCACCGTCATCAAAAATTCGCGCCAATCACTGCCAATCTTTGCATGAGTGTGTTCCAGAAGAACTTCGAAGTGGTCGACACGACATGAAAAAAATAGACACACAGCATCTCATCATTGAGTGAACAAAATTATAACATTTAAACTCGACGGAAAGTCGATCATGCCTCCCAGAACTTATTCATTCATCAGTTCACACATTTTAGTTTCTGATCACTTCGATTGTTTTATGATTTAATTATAGCCAATATCAAGCATGTACAACACATTGCTATACCTCGTCGATCTTGTACAGTACAGTGCTCGGACCACAAAATGGTTCCATGACGGGCAAGTTTGTTTATTTTCGTGCGGCTGTTTAGGGAAGCCATGCCCTATTATGTGGTGAAACTGCACGACACTTCATAATTTCCAGCTGTTTCATAGGGGTCGCACACATACATGCAAAGCGTGCTTTGACCTGTACACTTTCGCCATAGTTAATCTTCTGCCCAGCCACGGGGAGGCCAGTGGAAAAATCTGAACAGGAAGCAAATAATAAGAACCAACATGGCTCTTAACACAAAAACATAGATGCCTAACTTATATTATATTAACTTATATTGTACTGTATATTCACCGGCATTTTAAGAGTACTGTACTGTACAGTATTCAGACTTTACAGAGTCCACCTGCTGCGCAACAGATTGATTCCATACACATTTGGTTGGGTACAGCTCCCTCCCTGCAATATTGTACCTGAACCTTTTAACAAATGTTTTATTATACAATGGCACAGCTATTTTTCAGATCCAAATAGCTGAACTTCAAGAGGATTTTAATGTAATTACAATACAGTACTTTTCAATGAAACGGTTAATTGTTATTCCTTCAGCTCAAAGTTTCAGCAGTATGTGAGTATGAGTCCAACATCCAGTACAGCGTGTCCCTTCATTTTTTCAAAATTTGCACTACATTCATTATGATTTCCAAAACATAAAATTGTAAACATAGGTGAACTCTCTCTGTACAACAAAATTCAAGGGACCATAAAACTTCACTGTAAACAGAATTTCATTGTAAATAAACCTGAATAATTGCGGAGGGGAGGGGTTTACAGTAAAAAAAAAGTTGTATACTAATCAAATTGTAGTGAACAAGATTTTTATTGTAGAGTTTTCAGTACTTGTATTAAATCCATACCACACAATCACAAAAGGACACGAAATTTATAAGACCGTATTTCTGAAGTTTTCAGAATTACAACGTGAACCAAGGAAGCTTCATTCTTCTACATCGGCAAGTATATGTCGCTTGAAGATGCCAGCAACTCTCATTTTCAATTTTCTTCTAAATGAAACACACCGTTCAAGTCACATTAAGTTCGCCTTCATTTCACGCACGGTAAGGGATCGTGAATACTTTATTTTTCCTTTTAGTACAGTCAAGGAAAACAAAAAGACAATCGTTGCAGAATCAGAAAATAAAAACGAAGACATCATCTTTGTCGTTGCCCTCAAACAGGTCGTCCATTCCAGGTTCCCCAGCAAATATAAAAGACCAAGCATTGGATTAATCCGAGGTCTCAAAAGGTAACGTCGATCGATTTCAGGCTAATTCAGACATTTTTTCCACGCAAAAAGGTAACCGAATGAGTCAACCAAAATAATTAAAATTTGGCCTAGATTCAATCAGTTCTTTTTTTTCAGACCGGTCTGTTTCTTCATTTTTTTTTCGGGAAACCCAGTATAAGTTCAGGGTACAGTATATGGTAAAATTCCACGCGTCATATCAATTCATAGACCGCGATATAAATGCTCCCGGCACGTGATGGTCAATTTTTGTTCATTGACACGCGGACGAAAACACTTTTTTCTTAAAACAGTCACGAGAAAATAAGAAATCAGGGGAAGCAAAAAATCGTCGTCGTGTGTGCATGAGACGTTGTTCTTCAACACCGTAATCCCTATGCTGCAAATTCAATCGCAAAAAAACTATCCTCTCCGCAAGCAACACCGAACAACCCGACCAAAAAATATACTCGTCACGGCTTAACAACATAAAATTCTTCTCAAACGCACTTTGTTGCGGCTGCTTAAATTAGCGCACACACGTCGAAAGCAAAAAACGACAAAATAGTTTCTCTTCTTTTTTTTTCTTCCTGCGAGAACCTATGGATTTCCTGTCTTTCGTTTCAAGCTCCAGCTCCTTTGGCTATAATTTTTCCTTCAAGATTCCATCATATATTTTACGCACGAAAACAAAAAAAAACCACCACGTTCAGCACAAAATGTACAAAGTACCATGCGGTGCAACGATTCCTGCTAAACGCAATTCCGTTTCACAACGCCGATCAAACTCATCACAAATGGTTTCCACGTCAAAATGATTCGAATCATTTCAAACCAAAAGAGTTCCTATGAACATAGCCAACAAAAAAAAAAACAAGTAGGCGAGAACACAGTGCATACAGTAACCTTCACAATCGGTGACTACAGTACTTGGAATTCAATACCTCAAAAACGAAAAAAAAAAAATCGATCGTTGCATTTAAAGGAATGTGCTTTCCAAAATTCCACATTTGGGAAGACCTTTTCTTTGTCTTTCGAAATACAACTTTCTTTCATATTCGTTTCATGCTCTTGACAACGGTTTGCGCATTGCATGAAAGGTTCAGAACAAGGGTATCTCCGAAAAGTCTTTCCGACACGAAATTAAATTATGATTCGTAGGCTTCTCATTTCTATCAATAGAAAATCCCATGATGACCCAATTCTACAGAAAAACTACTTGAGGCAGATAAAAATGCTCTAATGCATGAGGCACACAAATTTGCATCCGGACAACAAATGTTATTGGGTCATTATAAGCTCAGTACATTTTCGGCTTCGGAAGTATTTCTTTTAAAGTAGATGTCGCTTCTATGCTTTGGAACAATTACACGTAGACTCTAAAAAAATTCAAGCAAACCGAAAAAAAAAGGTTTTAGAGAACCATTCTATAAGATGGGTAGGGAATCCTTAGGGACCAAACTTTTTTTATGAAGATAAAATTGTTGTAGAAAGAGCTTACATGTACTGCAAAAGTTTACCAACTCATCACTAAAACCAGCAGATCTTTGTGCTAATGTGGAGTACTCATCCATTTGCACTCAAGTTGTCAATATAAATAGCTGCAGCAATCAAAAGCAAAGTACTTTTAATCTGAACTTTCAAAAAGCAAAGTTCTGAGATATTTTTCATCATCCATTTCAATGAATTTTCCGCTTTTCTTTCCCAGATAGGCTTTTTTAAATCTTTAAACAATCCCATGAAGCAGAACAGACAAGTGTTGTTGGGTCATTATTAGAACAGTCTCTGTTGCACCTGAAAAGTATTTTCGAGCAGGTAGATGTCGCCTCTACAATTTGACAGAATTAAGCATTGACTATTTCACTACAAGAAAAAATCAGGGAACCAGAGAAAAGGCGTCGCAGAGAAAGCCTAAAAGATCTACATGGAATCTTTTCGGACAAAAAACAGTTGTACAGAGAAAATTATTGTAGACGGTAACTTGCAGTTGGATGTCTTCCAATGTCACACAGGTACAGTTCGTTCTTGATGAAAATGCGAGTTCCTATCCCCACCCGGCCGCTGGCTGAAACCTTCATGCAAATCTTCCACGAAGAAAAAAAAAACCGTTTCGAAAGTAATCGAGAAAACTTCAAGCCTTTGCTAAACGCGTCGCTGCTGTCCGACTGAACACCTCAGCGTCAGAGTCACTCGACGACTCGTCGTCCAGCGAAAAGTCCATCGCTCTCCGGGGTCCCGACTTGAGTTTCGAGTTGACGAACAGGTCATCTTCGCCGTCGGACCCGGTCGTGTCCAGTCTTTCGAACCCATCCTTGGCGTTGTTGGCCTTCCTCCGTCCACTGCCCAGGATTCCACCGAACCCGTACTTATCAGGACCCGTGTGCTTGTAATTCTGGTACACTGCTCGTAGGTTCGCTAGGCGAAGCAGGTCAAAACGAATAAATATTACAGCGTGACGTACAGTGGAGAAAAACAAAATCGACAAAATCACACGAACGATGAAAAAAAAAAAAAAAAATTTGAAGAGGAGCGAATCAAACCTCTTTCCAGTTTTACTCAAGAATAAATCCATCTCGCAAAGATATCTTACTTTCTCGTAGTTTTTGCAAATTCTTTTCGCACTAGTGCAGTAATTCGAATGTGATCGCGTAAAAAAGCATCATTCGAATTTGTTATGATCAGTAGAAGTTGCCGAGACGAAATTTCAACACGCGAAATTTTTGAGCTCCTTCTTCCCAATGCATAAGATTTTTTTTATCAGCATTACAATTTTGAAATTCACGCAATTCAGGTTAAATTACAATACGGTAAATACACAAGGATGAAATATAAAAATATAGTTGAAACACAGATTTTCGTCGAGAAAAGCATTTTCAATCAATCCAGGGGATCTCAGTAATTCAAATTCCAGGTTCAAAATAATTTAGTTACAAGATTCGTCACTCACTCTTATACGAGTGGTCTAACAAATATTTCCGGAATAGAAAATGAAACGGCAGAACACTGAGCTGAAAGAACTCTTCGTCAAAAAAATTCTTCGCACACAAAAAAAGAAAAACAGATCTGTTCGACATATTTTTCAGAAAATGTTTGCAAAAGGCACCCTAGCATATTTTTGCTCTTCACTCAAAAGAAGAGTCACCCATCCCACACATTTTTTTCGTGTACCCCAGCTTTCCCATCGAAATTCTCGAAATAGACGTGATGTACATGTTCAGGGTTGCCACCTGTAATTTATTATTAATTCCGCAATTTTCATCAATAGCCGCCACTTGGGATGAAAATGCGGCGACTGAGAATATAAATGGCGGAATGACCATGAAAGACCTAGAGACAACCCGAGGCATTGATTTTCAATCAATGCCTCGCCGATTTTGAAGGAAAAACTGGGATGCACAAACAAATTTGCGAGACGGGCGAAACATCTTCCGAGTGAAAAGCAAAAAGCTGTCAGGGTGACTTGAAAAAACAAAATAAATACTGTACGTCAAACAGGGCTAAATATTTTCTCTTGCGCCAAAAAATGATTTTCAAGCTAAATTATTTGCCGTTTCAATTTATATCAAACTTTTGCTAGACCCCTCGCAAAAATACGCCCACAAGTTCATTACAATTACTGCAATTAAAAACAGACCTTCATTACAAAGTCAAAAAGACACTCACAGCGATTCCGCAGTCTCAGCAAAACCAGGATGAGCCCGAGGACTAAAATTGGAACAGCAGCAACCATCATGATCTCCACTCCCCAACTGAACCGCTTCCCATCGCTGAACTTCGATCGTGTCGCAGTTAAATTCGCGACGGACTGCGACGAGGAATCCTTCAAAGTTCGTGGCTTCAACTCCTCGACTATTGAAGAAACAAATCACAAGGATTAAAAACAATTGTCAATTTATCAAAATTTCTATGAATAACCTTGCGGCTTCTCTTCCGCTTCCGACGATGACGAAGAAGCACTCGTACCCTTCACAGATTTTTGCAGCTTACCCAAGTTTCCTGCAAGTGAAAAAAAAATATTTAACGCTCGAGAGACTTCAACACCCAATGTTCCGACAATGCACGAAAAATTGAAAGAAAAATATTAACCAATATTCCTGAATCCTCGTGGATTCAGGAATATTTTTAAAGACGGGGTTTCGTAAAATGAACGCTTTTCAATCAACCATAGAGTTCCAAATTTTGTATTCAACGCGATAAATCGAAGTGCGTAATACTGAACAGTACTGTACTGTATTTCAGTAGAAAGATTCGTTATTTAATCGTACTTGCTCGCCAGAATTTCTTCAAGGACCGATTACTCCATGCTAGGCTCAATTAGTCAACGTTGGATCTTATATTACCGTATTCACCACCACTTACTCTAATTACCACTCGCACGTTTCTTCTCAATATTGAAAGGACAAAAAGAGGAGTGGTGCGTCATAGGCAGTTAAACATTTAGAAAAATTTGTTGGAAGTTCAGGTGCGCATTATAGTTGATACGAATCGGAAATTTTAGAACAAGTTAGACAAAAAAATGTATTCTCGTCAAAACAAGTGAAAATTAGATGAATTCAGGTTCAATTCATTTATAAATTCAAATTTGGGTATTCTTAACTTTGAAATAACGCAGTTTTAGAGTCCCTGAAACTAAAATGGAGTTCGTGTCGATCTTACTCGGAAATACAATTTAAATAAAAAATTTCGATCGAAAAACCTTCGTGAGCGTAGTCCTCGAGTAAATCCGGTTAATCATTACCCAGGTTTTCTTCAAGCTACGTCAGGAACGAAGACAAACAAAGCCGACGAAAAAAAGTTTATAAACGAATAATTTCAAGAAAACGCCTAACCTCTCACGAATTTCGACAGACGATGCGGTTTCGTCTCCGCCACATAAACCTCGTTGGCGTCCGCAGTAACGTGCAAATCATGCGGCTCTTGCAACTTGGACCCACCGAAATCCCCGACAATAATCTCCCTCTTCGACTTGGCCCGTGGACTGACAATAAACCCACTGGCGTCCGAGTCGGCTGCAGATGGCCCATTCACGACGAAAAGCAAACCATCTAATAAAAAGGTGGAAAAAAACAGACGTGAATTCAGCGCTGAAAACAATCAAGACAAAATAAATAAAAATTTGACCAAAAAAAGCAAAAGATATAAAAAATAGAACAAAAAGGGAAGCTAAAACGATATCCAATGAAGCTTTGCTTGAAATAAAATATTTACGCGAATATAGGTGGACTCTCTCTACAACAAAATACGAGGAGCCAGAAAAAAATCGAAAAAAAATGCGGATAAAAGCATGAACCTCCTAGTTTTTGAGCTTATGAAATTGGGAAGAAGGGGTCCTTATACAGTATTTGCGTAAATACGGTACAGTATGTTCATTTTCAGTTTTGATTGACGTCCCGAAAAGGTTTTTGAATCATTTATGTACATGAAATCAATTTTATACGACTGAGCCTCTTGGAAAGATTTCTCTGGTACAGCATCAACCTTTTTTTTTGCAAATCCAGTTGGTTCCAGACATAAATTTGCAACAACAACAAAAAATTTCCCCCGAATACACTTAAATGGTAAAATAAATAATCGGTTCCATAATATGCGAAATACTTTCGAGTACTTAAAATCAGGAAAAAATTGGGTGCTTACATCCGCATAAATACGGTAGTGCGACAATTTTTTATAAAATAGAGAAATAATTCCGATCAAGAGCAGATTCGGCCAAGGATTTAAAACCCAAGCATTTCCCCCGAAAAACATGATCAACTCACTAAAGGCAGGCGTGTAGGAAACCGAGAAAACACGACCACCAAACTGCTTAGAAGTGATCGTCCCAACGTAAGAAAGGTTTCCAGTTGTCAGAGCCTGAATACGACCATTTTCCCGATCAGCAACAAACAAAAGATTCCTTCCCACGTCCAGAGTCAACGCATGAGGAATACTGAAATCCGTGGGACCCGGACGATGATTCCAAGTGGAGAACATTCCGAATAAAGAGCTGCCAACTTTCCCCACCTAATCACGACACATTTTCCACGTTTCATGAGTTTATTCAATTACACGGTAAAAAAAAGGGGGGGGGGGGAACCTGTGATAGCAAGTGTTGCCCATCAGCGGAAAACTTGAGGATCCTGCTGTTGCAATATCCATCCGCCACGAAGAAGTCGCCGGTTTTCGGCTCAATCGCCACCGAAGTGGGTTTGCAGAAATGGGTATTATCTGACCCGGGCTCCATGTGCGTTCCCAATTCCATCAGCTTCTTCCCGGATTGAGAATACTTGAAAACTTGATGCATTCCCACGTCAGTCAGCCAGACATTGTCTTCGTGATCCACTGTCAAACCATGAGGCATGTAGAACCTGAGAAAATAAAGTCAGCCCTCAATTTTATCCCACACATTCTGGTGAAACAAATCTCCCAATCTCCCATCTAAAATGTTTGAAGGGAAACCCAGATTTAGTGTTAAATCACTTAGTGTCACAAAAAATGCCTTGTCCTCCATGAAAAATTTACCAAAAAATGACGGCCATTTTCTAGAGACATCCTTGGGTTATTACCAAGAATCCGATGTACAAGCATACATAAAAACTCCGGAATATTTTCGAACATTATATTCTTGAATTTACGTCGTTGAAAACATTTTTATGACACCTTCTTCCATTGAAAACTTCATAATAAAACGTGAGCTTTCCATGAAACATTGGCGATTCTTAGGAGAAAATCCAACTTTTATTTTTCATCAGATAATTTCCACAGCCATAGTCTTAGAAAATTTCAGAAGAAGAGGAGACTTCATCACTACCTCAGAGAAATTCACTACATTGAAGAAAATCTCCCGCGGACCAGCAAAAAAAAAAAAAAAAAAAAAAAAACCT